ACATGTCGGAAACTGTCCCCAAAAGTGCAAATTCATGTTGGTTTGTCTAACGGTGAGATTTGTGGCAACAGAAATTGAAAAGTAGACACTGACGTAGTGACTCGCTGAACGGTTCGCTAGCAAAATCCAGCAATGATTTCCACTAACAATTTTTCTGAGAGAATTTATTTGTTTAATATCTATGAATTTCTGTTACTATTTCGTACTTCATTTCATTTGCCCTAATATTTTGAATCTCATCTTAGTTACCAGGAGAACATCATAAGCGGCAATGTCTCTTTCTAGTCACAGGAGAAATGTGTGAACACTTCATTTTGTTTACTCTTTAGGCGATTCTGGTGCAAGGAGGTGTTTGTGATCCTAATATTTTGAGTATCCGATGGTAAATTTTCTCCGACTATCAGGAGAACATGATAAACTGAAGTTCCCAAAATTGTAAGCAACGCAAAATTTTGTAAATTTTCTCTGGCGACCAGGAGAACATTATAAACGAAAAAATCTTGCCCTAGTCACATGAGTCAACACTATTGTTGGTTACACTTTCGGGGGTTTTAGTGCGAGGAGGTATTTTTGATGCTAATACTTTGTATACGATGGAAAATTTAATGTTAGGTCCGATCTTACTGCTGATACAAATGTTTCTTACTTATCATGTTCTCCTAATACCGTGTCCTCACTTATTATCTCCTGTTAAATTAGACACTTCATTTAAGAATCACACTTACTCAATTTGGCATCGACGAAAACGCCTCTGCGCAAAATAAGTGGATTAGGTATATTAATAAAGTCGCCCGATGCATGGACCAGAATGAAATCTAAATATTCGTAATATTTTCAAAGGAAAACATGTGCGCGGAAATAGAATTTACAAACACAAAAGCTTCTCGCCCAAATTATGTCACGTCCAAATGGCGATGATATCATAGGCCCACGAGGAAATCTTTAATATCTAAATCATTGTTTAATAAAGAATCGAGTCTGACGAAATTGCCTAAAAATCTGACCCAATTAATTACGTCTAAATTCTAATTAATTGTATCGGTTAATTTAATTAGTTATTATAATTAAATACGATTATGTACAATTTACGTGTTTGTCATCTTACTAACTCAATCAGTGAGAACACTTCGCGTTTTTGTAATTCTGCTATTCAAATTTTTAAAGTGGAGATATATAACAGGAGAACATAATATTACGCTTTTTTTTGCGTTTCTGTGATCCTGCTACGCTAATCTTTCAAAGAGTAATAGGTGTCGGGATAACATAATAAAGAGAAGGTGTCTGATAACAAATATTGCAACTGCTTTGATCCCTGTGATCCTGATACTAGAGGGAAGCAACCATAAAATTTAAAATGCACAAATTCAAATTCAGTAGGTAGGTAAGCTAAATTGAAAAAATATTGGGAAAAATGAAAAACTGTAAAAACATTCAGAAAATTTATAAAAAAACGCATTTTACAAAATTGTTCATCGGATACTCAAAGCATTAGGGTCCAAAACACCTCCACGCAAGAAAATCCACGAATCTGCAAGGCAAAATAAAGTACATTTCTCATGTGACCTTCTCGTTTACCATGTTCTCCTGGTAACCCGAAAAAACGCCTTCGATTCGCTCGGAAATGACTCTGCTAAAGCTGATTTATTCGGTTTGATCAATTTCATGGATGAAGGTATCGTTGTCGAGCGAGCCAAAGGCGAGACTCGCAGTATTAGGAGAGACCTCCTCAAGCACCCAAAATTGTAATCAATTTTTGCTGCGACTAGAAAGAGACAGTGAAATCTCCGAAAGTGTAAGCAAAAATAAAGTGTTGACAAATTTCTCATGTGATTAGGAAAAGACCTCCCCAGAGAAAATTTCCATCGGATACTCAAGTGTAATGACCACAAATGCCAAAGGCACCAAAATTAATAAGAAAAAGTTTTTTCCCGAGAAATTTTGGTGTAGTCGATTTTTGGTAAAAAAGGAAGGTTATACACTGCCTTTTTTTGAGCCCCGAAAAAAAATTGTCTCAGATCGACCCGGAAAAAAAATTTTCTTATAGAATGTGGCCTGTAGAATCCATAATTTCAAACAGTTCCAAGATTGGGCTACTAGTTCAAAAGTTACAGCCCTTTGAATTTTTTTTCGAAATTGGTTTTCTAGTCTATAACTTTTGATTGAGAAGTCTGATCGAAAAAGTACGAATTGTTTTGGATTCTACGCACCAAAATTAATAGAAAAAAGTGTTTTCCCGAGAAATTTTGGTGTAGTCGATTTTTGGTAAAAAAAAGGAAGGTTATACACTGCCTTTTTTTGAGCCCCGAAAAAAAAATTGTCTCGGATCGACCCGGAAAAAATATTTTCTTATAGAATGTGGCCTGTAGAATCCATAATTTCAAACAGTTCCAAGATTGGGCTACTAGTTCAAAAGTTACAGCCCTTTGAATTTTCTTTCGAAATTGGTTTCTAGTCTATAACTTTTGATTGAGAAGTCTGATCGAAAAAGTACGAATTGTTTTGGATTCTACGCACCAAAATTAATAAGAAAAAGTGTTTTCCCGAGAAATTTTGGTGTAGTCGATTTTTGGTAAAAAAGGAAGGTTATACACTGCCTTTTTTTGAGCCCCGAAAAAAAATTGTCTCAGATCGACCCGGAAAAAAAATTTTCTTATAGAATGTGGCCTGTAGAATCCATAATTTCAAACAGTTCCAAGATTGGGCTACTAGTTCAAAAGTTACAGCCCTTTGAATTTTCTTTCGAAATTGGTTTCTAGTCTATAACTTTTGATTGAGAAGTCTGATCGAAAAAGTACGAATTGATTTGGATTCTACGCACCCAAATTAATAAGAAAAAGTGTTTTCCCGAGAAATTTTGGTGCAGTCGATTTTTGGTAAAAAAGGAAGGTTATACACTGCCTTTTTTTGAGCCCCGAAAAAAAAATTGTCTCAGATCGACCCGGAAAAAAATTTTCTTATAGAATGTGGCCTGTAGAATCCATAATTTCAAACAGTTCCAAGATTGGGCTACTAGTTCAAAAGTTACAGCCCTTTGAATTTTCTTTCGAAATTGTTTTCTAGTCTATAACTTTTGAATGAGAAGTCTGATCGAAAAAGTACGAATTGTTTTGGATTCTATGCACCAAAATTAATAAGATAAAGTGTTTTCCCGAGAAATTTTGGAGTGGTCGATTTTTGACAAAAAAGGAAGGTTATACACTGCCTTTTTTTGAGCCCCAAAAAAAATTGTTTCAGATCGACCTGGAAAAAAATTTTTCTTATAGAATGTGGCCTGTAGAATCCATAATTTCAAACAGTTCCAAGATTGGGCTACTAGTTCAAAAGTTACAGCCCTTTGAATTTTTTTCGAAATTGGTTTCTAGTCTATAACTTTTGATTGAGAAGTCTGATCGAAAAAGTACGAATTGATTTGGATTCTACGCACCCAAATTAATAAGAAAACGTGTTTTCCCGAGAAATTTTGGTGTAGTCGATTTTTGGTAAAAAAGGAAGGTTATACACTGCCTTTTTTTGAGCCCCGAAAAAAATTGTCTCAGATCGACCCGGAAAAAAAATTTTCTTATAGAATGTGGCCTGTAGAATCCATAATTTCAAACAGTTCCAAGATTGGGCTACTAGTTCAAAAGTTACAGCCCTTTGAATTTTTTTTCGAAATTGGTTTCTAGTCTATAACTTTTGATTGAGAAGTCTGATCGAAAAAGTACGAATTGATTTGGATTCTACACACCCAAATTAATAAGAAAAAGTGTTTTCCCGAGAAATTTTGATGTAGTCGATTTTTGGTAAAAAAGGAAGGTTATACTCTGCCTTTTTTTGAGCCCCGAAAAAAAAATTGTCTCAGATCGACCCGGAAAAAACATTTTCTTATAGAATGTGGCCTGTAGAATCCATAATTTCAAACAGTTCCAAGATTGGGCTACTAGTTCAAAAGTTACAGCCCTTTGAATTTTTTTTCGAAATTGGTTTCTAGTCTACAACTTTTGATTGAGATGTCACCAAAATTAATAAGAAAAATTTAAAAAAATTAAAAATTTTAATTAAAAAATGGCATAAGACCTTCGAGCATTAGAGGGTATTCTAGTACTTTTCAGACCGCCCCTCATACGTTCACCCTCAAAATGTGCAGCCTTAAAGGCTCTTCCGAAAAATTATGGCGCAAGTGCTAAGGATTTTTTGGGGAAAAATGTAGACCCGGGCGGCCTGGAATATCCCCCAGGAAGAAAAAGGCCCAATAAAATTCCATACTCCATACCCGAGTCTATAACTACAGCGGAAATAATCGCTCTCGTTACAATCTACGAATTTCCATGACATGATTTTTATACAGAGCCGCCATTTTGAGTTTTGGGGTCACGTGATATGTTTCTTCTGACCTACTTACTGAGCGTTTCCGTTTTAGCTGCAAGAATTACCGATATCCTTTCGGATTGTTAACCATTGAAACAGGGACACATTAAATGCTCAAAGGCTGCAAAGGATCCTAGAGGAGAAGCAGAGGTGCAGTGGGTGGAGACGTAAAGTAAAGACAAATATAATATAATATAATATAATATAATATAATATAATATAATATAATATAATATAATATAATATAATATAATATAATATAATATAATATAATATAATATAATATAATATAATATAATATAATATGTTATATATTATATTATATTACAAAAACAAAGAAGGCGGCGGGAAAGTGAGTTGCGAACAAACATAAATCGTGACAAGAGACAGGAGTCGCGAAGGAGGTGAGAGTTCTTCACGGAGCAATGAAGACGGAGACGTGAATAATTTATTATAGGGCGATCCCTTTCAATATGGATCCAATACCATTCATAAGTAGACCTGAAAAACAAAACCTTCTGTTCACATTGCGTGACAAATTACAATCAGATAAAACTGACCGAATTTAATGTGATCGTGCAAAACAAATTAAACAACGTAATTACGTTCCCATATAAAATGAGGTCCCTCAAGTTTGGGCGTGCAGTTCTCCAATGGCTCGTGCAACAGTTCTGCTGCTGTGGATCGTCGCAGTGGAAGCTTTCGTAAGTATGGCAATTCAAGTGAGTGGAAATTACCGATTTTCCCACAGCAAAACTCCTACCGTGTCAAGCAGGAACGCTTCGACACGGAATACTACGATCCGAAGTTGGTCACCGTCGCGACGGGCGTCTACAAGTTCAATCGCACCACTAACTCGATTAATATCACGTTCACATTACACGAGGAGCTAACTGAGCGAGATATGGTACGATTTCCGCCGAACGACTCAAAGTGAAATTGATACTTGCAGTGCGTGGTGAGAGGCTTCAAGTGGATGAGCAACCAGTACCGCTTGGACATCCTGCAGTTTGAGTACACCATCAAGAACGTCATCGGCATCAAGTACTTCGACATCGGTCGACTGCTGCGCAACCACACCGATCCGCCGTTGGAGTGGCCGATCCAGAGGGGGGTGAGAGCGCATCCCCAAGCCCTCAGTGGTAACCGCCAGTGTTACAGATCGAGTACAAAATGCGCGATTGGGTTCCTGAGAGTAGTCAATTTCCGCCGGGTATGCCCGAAGGAAGGTGGAAGTTGTCATTACAATTCATTAAGGCCGATAAGACTCAGATTGCCACGATCAACTGGTACGTCGCCTTGGAGTACAAGGTTAAGATGGAAGATGACTGAGTACTTTTTTCACACTCCTGGTAATCTTTCCCAGACCTCACTTTCATAACTTGGTACCAGGAGATCATAATAAACGAGAATGTATTAAATTGATGTCTTAAATAAACGAGAAGGTATTTGTTAGTCTGATTAACTTCGTGCATTTTTGTGCTCCTGTTACTGTGGAAAGGATAAGAGGAAATCGGAGACCTTCAAAGGTACGGAACCTTTCTTAAACTTTTCTTGGGCCAGGAGATCCCAACGCGTTTTAAAAAGGACCCCGACAAGGAGTTATAAAGTTCTGGAAAACTTCTAAAACGCAAGGGGATGCAAAGGGGTTTAAATCATTATGAAAGCGTACACTAATTTGAAGCTTCTGCATCTATGATAGGAGAGCTCTAAAAATACCTTTATCACTATGAAAAAGGGCTCGATAGCTATGACAAGGTCTTGTTCTTCCTAATTCCCTAAGTATCCGCTAGGAAAACTTTGTAATTTTCTCTGTCTACCCAGTACCATCTACAAGCGGGCGTGCAGACTTCTGAGCCCACGGGCAGCGTACCACCCTTAGCTGCCCTGCTAGAGACCGCCGTCCAAGCACATGGGGGTCCAACAGGCGACTGGGATTTCGTGCGAGCCGTCCAATTGAGAAAGTGTTTCTGTTCTTCACTGTCTTAGTGTCAGTTAAGGTTACAAACATTCTCTGTCTGCCAGGAGAGCAAGCATAATCCAAGTTCAATAAAATATTCCTTCCTATTTTTCATTTAAACTCTTGTATCAGGAGAGTATAATGTGCAAAGAAGTGATTCTGTTGCTCATTGTCTTAGTGTATGTTGGCATAAAGTTAGAAATACTCTCTGTCTACCAGGAGAACATAATCCAAGCTCAATAAAATAAATAACTCCTTATTGTTCATTTAAACTTTTGTATCAGGAGAGTATATGGCGCGAGGAAATGTTTTTGTTGTTCATTGTCTTAATATAAGTAGCATAAGGTTCTAAATACTCTCTGTCTACCAGGAGAACGCAATTCAGGCTCAATAACATATTCTAACTCCCTATTCTTCATTTAAATGTTTGTATGAGGACAGCATAATGAGCGAGGAAGTGTTTCCGTTGTTTAATGTCTTAGTGGCTATTCGGATAAGGTTATAAATGTTGTCTGTCTACCAGGAGCGCATAATTTGTACTCAATAAAATGTTCATTTAGACTTTTGTATCAGGAGAATATACTCCCTATCTACCAGGAGAACACAATTCAAGCTCAATAAAATATTCCAACTCCCTATTCTTCATTTAAATTTTTGTATCAGGACAGCATAATGAACGAGGAAGTGTTTCCGTTGTTTAATGTCTTAGTGGCTATTCGGATAAGGTTATAAATGTTGTCTGTCTACCAGGAGCGCATAATTTGTACTCAATAAAATGTTCATTTAGACTTTTGTATCAGGAGAATATACTCCCTATCTACCAGGAGAACACAATTCAAGCTCAATAAAATATTCCAACTCCCTATTCTTCATTTAAATTTCTGTAGCAGGACAGCATAATGAACGAGGAAGTGTTTCCGTGGTTTAATGTCTTAGTGGCTATTCGGATAAGGTTATAAATGTTGTCTGTCTACCAGGGGAGCATAATTTGTACTCAATAAAATGTTCATTTAGACTTTTGTATCAGGAGAATATACTCCCTGTCTACCAGGAGAACGCAATTCAGGCTCAATAAAATATTCTAACTCCCTATTCTTCATTTAAATGTTTGTATCAGGACAGCATAATGAACGAGGAAGTGTTTCCGTTGTTTAATGTCTTAGTGGCTATTCGGATAAGGTTATAAATGTTGTCTGTTTACCAGGAGAGTATAATTTGTACTCAATAAAATGTTCATTTAGACTTTTGTATCAGGAGAATATACTCCCTGTCTACCAGGAAAACACAATTCAAGCTCAATAAAATATTCCAACTCCCTATTCTTCATTTAAATTTTTGTATCAGGACAGCATAATGAACGAGGAAGTGTTTCCGTTGTTTAATGTCTTAGTGGCTATTCGAATAAAGTTATAAATGTCTGTCTACCAGGAGAGCATAATTTGTACTCAATAAAATGTTCATTTAGACTTTTGTATCAGCAGAATATACTCCCTGTCTACCAGGAAAACACAATTCAAGCTCAATAAAATATTCCAACTCCCTATTCTTCATTTAAATTTTTGTATCAGGACAGCATAATGAGCGAGGAAGTGATTCCGTTGTTTAATGTCTTAGTGGCTATTCGGATAAGGTTATAAATGTTGTCTGTCTACCAGGAGTGCATAATTTGTACTCAATAAAATGTTCATTTAGACTTTTGTATCAGGAGAATATAAGGTTTGTGTTCTTCATTGTCCTATATATTCTATGAGGAGACCTTTTGCTAAGCTCAACAAAACTGTTCCAACGCTTTATTCAAATCTAAAGTGCTCGATCAAGAGAGTATGTGGTACTTAGGGGGTGGTGTTGCTGCTCATAGTGCGCAAATTTCCGCCAGAACACTGTTGTAACTTTTGTTTAGATGCCAGGAGACCATAAGGTATAAAAAAGTAGTTACATAAATTCAACAAAAGCGTCCCAAAAGATTATTCCCGCTTGAGTTTCTGTATCAGGAGAGTATGCTACCCGAACGAGATTAGGAATCTAGTTACCAGGAGAACATATTCTAGGAGAAGGCAATTCTGTAAGCCCAATAGAAATATTCCAACACTTTATTTTTCATTAAATATCTGTATCGGGAGGAGAACATAACTTGTTTTAAAAGGCACAGAGGATTCTTCAAAACCTAAGTTCTAGAAAACTTCTATAAGGGCCTAGTGATGCAATTTCCAGAGTCAAAGTGCTCTGCAGAGACTGCTTGGCCTCCTAAATCAATTTCCAAACATTTTTTTATTGCTACCTGGTCTAAGAAATCCCATTTCAGAAAATTACCTACAGCACTCTGAAAAGGGCTTATAAAATTTTAAAAAACGGAAACGAGACCCTTTGAATCGTTCCAAAGTCGCCCAATTGCTGTCCTGAAGGACTTGCTAGTACTTAATTGCACGCGCGATAGATCGCTTCCCGAAATGTTCCCTTGCTGTGATAGTGATCTCGGACCTTTTGCTTAAAGAAATAGAGCATCTAATCGGAAATTACCACCACCAGGTATTGGTACATGCCAATACCGACGTCTAGCATCTGCAGGTGGGAGAGTTCGGTGTCGAAACGTTCCTCTTCGACCCGGTAGGAGTTTTGCTGCAAAAGACACAGTCCTCCCCTAACTATCTTCATAGTGAAAATCAACGGCAGTAACAGTCGACGCAACATTGTTTCAATTGTGGAAAAAATTGCCATTAGTAGTTGCGCTATCAAGTTTTCAGATCGCAATCTCCGCTGTCTAATTTTACATTATAATTATTAATGGATGAATGAAATTTGATTACAAACGTAATTGCGTGATTGTATTCATGGCGAGGCTAATTGTAAATTGCATCTGCTGATAGTATTGATCACATGTCCCACAATGGTTTTTTGTCCTTTTCGAGTCCTTGCAAAGTGTACTGTGACATTTGGTTTCTTAGGACTACGAGAAAAGGTGACACGTCACACTACCCCATTTTCGTGTAAACTTCAGAAAAGTAAGCTTTACGGTCCGATACACAATTTGGACAAAGATGTACCACGGCCATCTTATTTAACCACGAAAAACACCCTGCGATTGACGTTAATTAATTAAAAAACTTTGCTAACAAAAGCATGAAATTATTTATTGATTCAACAGTTTATTGATGTAATAATCGGAAATAAAAGCGCGCTTGAAGATTGTATATGCACTCAGCTCAATCATTAATTAATGTACAAATTTCCACTCAACTTTTAAAAAAGGTTCCTAATTAATTAATTTTTAATTAAGAAATTGAGCTTTACGGCTCGATACATAATTGGTCCATTCGTCTACGGATGCTGCAATTTCAATTAAAATGTCTTCAATTGACGCTTAATTAATTACAGAAATTTAGAAACGAAAGTGCGCCTATACTTATTTATTTATTGATGCATTACTAAGTATACTAATCTAATAAAGACTACCACTAGACGCTTAATTAATTAAAAAAGTTGGCAATCAACGTAAAACTGAAGGTATGAGATCATTCATAATTAATTAAAAGAGATGAGTCTTACTGACGATCAATAGCTAAACGAATCTCAAAAACAACCTCCAATTGACGCTTAAGTAATTATGAAAAGTTGGTAACAAACTTATTCATTGATTAAGAACTGTGAGCTTTACGACTCGAGACGCAATTGGCCCAATCAGGTGCCGATGCTTAATATTTTAATCATAAAAAGACGCTTAATTAAAAATTAATAAAAGCAGGTATTAATTAATGCTTAATTAATTAAAAGAGAAGCGGTGCGCAATTTGTTTAATCGTATACGTATGCACAAAATCTTATTTAATTACCAAAAAATACCTTCGAATTAACGAATAATCAATTAAGAAAGGTTGGCAACCAGGTGTTGTAGCGAACATTCCAGAAATCGTCATGAAGTATTAGTCATCAGAGATGAAGAAAGAAGGCGGGTGTCACAAAATTCTTCCGGGAAAATTGACATTCCGAAACAACATTCTAGAACAATTGTCGTTTGCTATATAAGTGGATCAAGTTGAGTTTCGGTCAGTTCTAATTTCAACGCCAAAGTAAAAAATAGTTCACGCTGTTATAAATTGTCGATATCTGAGTGATAGATAATATTCGTTTTAAGACGAGGGACCGCCGCCATGGTAGCAAACTCCTCTACTAGTACTCACTCAAAACTTTCGTAATCACTGTCTTTTTACGGACAAATTGTGTGGTGCCGCTCATCAAGAGTGCAACTCAATTCGGCAAATACATTCGAGTGTAAATAAAATTGATTGGCTTTGATAAGCGACAATATTTGAATGTTTGGTTCGGAAACGTGAATAAGACACAAAAAAGTGGCGTCGAAAATAATTAAAAGCGATCTCTCTGTGATTGTGTTGTTCTCACTTTAATTGGCGTTTCTCGATTGTTCGATGCAAAACGGGCGCGAAGGAAATTAAAATTTTAAATGCGGAAAATTTT